TTTAAACTTGGACGCGAGACTAAAATTTTAAATGCATATTGCCAGCTCCGCAAGGGCGGCTAGTGCATCACATGAAGTAGTTATGTTTTTAATTGTCTCATCGTTTTGTCCTCTTCTTGCACGTGCGTCGGGACATCATGTAAAACAGGAAGAAAGTCAAAGAGTCAAAGGTGTCTTTTGGTAATTTACGTAGACAACAAGAGTCAGCTTATTTCCAAGCTACGGCATCGGGGGTTCCAAAACTAAATTAAAAAAGCGGGCCTCTTTTTTCTCCGCCGCTGCTGCAGGGGCACCCACCCAAGAAGAATGACAGAGCGCCGCCCAACCTCTGCCTCAAACTCAAATTCCACCGAAACCCCACCGCCGCCTTCCGACAAGAACCCGGAAAAGGAGGAGCCCAAAGAACCGACCCGGAAATCCAAAAGGCTAAAAGGCTGTCCGACCAAACTAGAAAAACTGGGAGAACTATCGGCATCCAACGGGATCTCCTCTTTCACTTTCGACACGAAATTATTCGATTGCTGCTCTCCCGAATTCACGCCGAAATTCGGATCTTTCAGTCCGGTGACGTCGAAGCCGCCGGAGAAAGATCGGCTTGCACGGAAAAGCGGAGACGAAGAAGAAGGAACTGATCGAGAAGCAGAAGAAAGCGGAGACGAAGAAGAAGGAACTGATCGAGAAGCAGAAGAAAGCGGAGACGAAGAAGAAGGAACTGATCGAGAAGCAGAAGAAAGCGGAGATGAAGAAGAAAAGAAGGGAATTAGGTAGAAATCAAATGATTGCAATGTAAGAATGAATGATCATCGTAATTGGGGGAAGAAATGCTGAATTGAAAAGTGGTTTCTTTTAGGTACTATTTTCTGATAGAAAAACCTTGTGCCGATGGAATTATATTAAATTCCTTGGCAGAAATTATTACTTATTATATTACTTTTAATATACTTAGTTTTTTATTTAAAGTGTTTAAATTTAATTAATTATTGTTTAAGATATTATTTAATATATTTATTTTTATTTTAT